GATCTAATTCAAGGATCAAATGAAAGCTAAGGGAGAGTTCTAAAAGTTTCATATTTTGGAGTTAGTCCAATTTAGCTTATAAAATACCCATAAATTGTGGGAAGTAAACATACTTACAATTCTACTCACCTCACAACGGAATGCCTTTCTTCATTCTCAGCCTACTGAAAGGTCAAAATGAGAAATGATACTCGAAGACCCTATTTGATGCCTCTACATGGAACATTTAACCTTAACAAATTTGCAAGAATTCAATTCAGACAGGTGGAGTTCAAATAAGGTAAAAAGTCTATAAAATTCAAGTTTCAAGTGGCAACCTGTCATGCTACAAGCCTCCATCTGTTATTGTATATATGCGAACTAATCTAGTTACAAGCCTCCATTTGTTATCTAACATATGACAACCTATAATGTTACAAGTCCCGATTTGTTATTTTACATATGTGAACTAGTCTAGTTACAAGCCTTTATCTATTATCTTATATATGACAACTTGTAATGTTACAAGTCTCCATCTGTTATTTTACATATGCGAACCACTCTAGTTGCAGCTGCAGCCTGTAATTCTAGATACTTATTGACTCGTTGGTATCAAAGACCATGAAGGAGGGTATCCCTTCCACAAATGACATGTTGATGAAGGTGAGATGAAATTTCTTCGAAACCATCAAAGTTGCCAGAAGGGTCTGTAACAATACAGATGTGACATGTAACTCTGCAGATGTAGTCTGGAATTTTGCAGCTCGAGGACTATAAAATTTGCAACTGCATCCTATAATTTTAGAAACTTAATTGACTCATTGGTACATGTAGATGAAGGTGAGATGGAATTTATTCCAAACCAGCAAAAGTTGGCAAACGGGTCTATAACAATTACGATGTGACCTGTATCTTTGCAGATCGAGTCTGGAATTCTACAGCTCGAGACTGTAAAATTGCAGTTGCAGCCTATAATACTAAAAACTTGTTGACTCATTGGTATCAAATACAATGAAGCGAGGTATCCCTTCCACCAATGACATGTGGATGAAGTGAGATAGATTTCTTCCAAACCATTAAAGTTGGCAGACGGGTCTGTAATAATCAGATGTGACCTGTAACTCTGTAGATAGAGTTTGGAATTCTACAACTCAAAGTTTGTAATATTGCAGCTCCAGCCTGTAATCCGAGAAACTTATTGACTCATTGGCGTCAAAACCATGAAGGAAGGTATCCATTTCACAAATGACATGTGGATGAAGGTGAGATAGAATTTCTTCCAAACCATCAAAGTGGCAGACGGGTTTGTAACAATACAAATGGGACCTGTAACTGTGCAAATGGAGTCTAGAATTCTGAAACTCAAAAACTGTAAAATTGCAGTTGCAACCTGTAATATTAGAAACTTGTTGACTCATTGGTATCAAAGAAAATGAAGGGAAGGTATCCCTTCCACAAATGACATGTGATGAAGGTGAGATGTAATTTCTTCCAAACCATCAAAGTTCGCAGAAGGTCTGTAACAATGCAGATATCACCTGTAACTCTGCAGATGGAGTCTGGAATTCTGCAGCTCAAATGCTGTAAAATTGCAGCTGCAGCCTGTACTCCTAGAAACTTATTGACTCATTGGTGTCAAAACCATGATGGGAGGGTATCCCTTCTTCAAATGACATGTGGATGAAGGTGAGATGGAATTTCTTCCAAACTATCAAAGTTTGCAGACGGTTTGTAACAATATAGATGGGACCTATAACTCTGCAAATGGAGTCTGGAATTCCACAGCTCAAAGTCTGTAAAATTGCAGCTGCAGCCTGTATATACTAGAAATTTTGTTGACTCATTAGTATCAAAGAAAATGAAGGGGGGATGCCTTCCACAAATGACATGTGGATGAAGGTGAGATGGAATTTCTTTCAAACCATCAAAGTTGGCAGAAGGGTCTGTGACAATGCAAATGTCACCCGCAACTCTGCAGATGGAGTCTGTAATTCTACAGCTCAAAGACTGTAAAATTGCAGCTGCAGCCTGTAATCCTAGAAACTTATTGACTCATTGGCGTCAAAACCATGAACGGAGGGTATCCCTTCCACAAATGACATGTCGATGAAGGTGAGATAGAATTTCTTCCAAACCATCAAAGTTGTCATCAATCCTTTTGCAATCGCCGTCTCTCTTGTTACTTGCTTCTATGTCTTCAATTGCAGGATGTGCCTTGTAGAACACAATTTTTAAATTTGCATACCATCTTCTTCATTTTCCAGTCTCAAAGCTGTTGGTTTCCAAGTCTAATCTGATGAATTACAGTGTCATCTGTAAATACCCAGAATTGCAACCCTCTCTTCTGTTTCATTTATTGGTTGTCGTCCCATTTTTTAGATACAAACAACCTGTCAATTTTGTTTACAGATGGCGTCCGCAGAGTTACAAACATCTGTTATCTTAACTGTCGGCCTTCCTAACCGGCACAATTCACTCTGGTCTTCCCCTTTTTCATTCGCCCATACTCCTGTGATATGTGTCCCTGGTTTATTCATCACTTTGGTTTATGATAATCCATCCCCATCGATAACCGAGTTTCTTCCTCTTGGTAATTACATAACGAAACTTATGGGTCCTCTTCTTCAGCCACTACTTCTGCTTCTACTCTTCTCCTACAGCTGCCTTTTCTCCAGCTTCCTCTGTTCCATATCCGTTAGTTTTTATTCGGAATATTACTAGTTGGAAGGTGTCTCCGGCTATCTGTTATTTTACAGTCATTGATCTGTTTTTTTACAGTTCCCTATCTGTTATTTTACAGTTATATATCTGTTATTTTACAGTCACGGCTGCAAAGGCACTTTAACATTGAAGGGCATTTTGAGTGTACAAATTATCTTAACCGGGTAAAATTTTATATCTAGCCTTTTTTGAAAATATTTTTGAAATCTGGCCTTAAGAGTAAATATTTTTTTTAAATTTATCTTTTTAGTAATTATCCCTAAAATTTTCTTCTGACTATAGACCCTATACTCCCAAGTAGGGCTGTCAATGAGCTAGGTTTTAATCTAAATCCGATCCGAATTCGATCCGAATTTAAGCCGTTTAACCAATTAAAATATCCGATGGATTAAATCCGATTATAAATATCCGTAATCCGAAATAAGTGGACCAGATATGGAATTAAGCAATCCGATCCGTTAAAAATCCGAATCTGAATATTTTAATAATAATTTTTATTTAATTAATAATTATATATATTAATAAATACTTTTATATATAATACAATATATATGACATTATAATTAATAATATATTAATTTGTATTTGTGAAGTATTTTATTTAATAGAATAATGTATATTTTTTCTAAACTCTTCTATAATATTCTTTTATTTTTCATAATTTTAATTTTTCTAGTAGGTATTATATTTAATAATTAATTACTTTTAAAGTTTCCTGAAACACTTGAATAAATTGATTATAAAATTTTTTAAGTTCTAATTATAATACAATAAAACTTGATAATTTTATAAAGTATTGAAATCCTATCATTAATTTTGTAAAATAATATATAACAAAAGTTTTTTTAATCATTCATAAATAACAATTTTATTTTTGAATTTTATTTATATTTTTAATAAAAGTAAAATAATTGAATATAAATCTTACATGAATTTTTATCATTCATAAATAATAATTTATTTAATTTTACATATCTTTTACTTATTGGTTATTTGATTTTAATTATTATTAATAGTTATTCAGATCGGATTTTTTATTCGATTTCGAATTTTTATCGGATTCGGATTCGGATTCGGATCATCCTATTTGATCCGAATCCGATCTGTTTACATACCTACTCCCAAGAACACTAGAATCCATAACACCAATTACTACTGTTTATGCATGTTTGAATACTCTGAATTAATCTTGTCTTTGATTGATAAGAATCGATTTAATCTGTGTAAGGCTCGTAAGAATGTAATTAATTGAAATTCATAAGGTTTAATATTCACTCATAAGATCCAAGTGTTTGAATCAACCGAAAGTTTAATTCTATTTGAATTACTTATTTTAGATGATATTTGCACTTGCTTATAAATATTAATTTTTCAGTTTAAAAAGTTATTTAATTTCATCTATAACAATTTTTCCATAAAACCCACAATCACTTGTATTTTTTAGTTACATTGAGATAATTATAACTTTTGCTTATACTAAATTATAACTATTGATACTGATCCTTGTACTAAAACTCTTATTTTCACTAATATTCTTACTTTTATTTTAAATATAATTATAAGTAATCATCACTTCAAGCACCTGTAATGAAGGCATCACTATGATGTAGAGAATAAAGATAACTGCCATTGCAACTATTCATATCATTTTTCAACTATATTAAGTACATGTAAATGCCATAATAAGGATTATCGGGATATTTATTATTCAAATAATTAAAATTTTGATGACTATAGCTATAAAAAGAACCATTATTTTGAACTAAAATAAAAATAACACAGCGTATTCAGAAAAGTAACGGGACTGAAAAATGTCCAGTTTAGCCATAGATGGAGACAGCCCAAATCCGTTTTGACTGGCCACCGCGTTGATATAGGGGCCCACAGTCGCTATCACCATTGCACACATTCTTTCCCTCCCTATTCGGTCAAGCAAAGCATATTAATGATGGTCCACCTCTACCCACATTCTCTGCAGCAAGCAAGTTTGTTTTCTCGTCTCCAATAAATCTAAAACTAAAATATTATTATTATTACTGTTTTTTATATATTCCCCACAAATAAATTCGGAGCATTCTCGTTAATTACTAGTTCCGCTTTTGTGGTGTTGTAGTTAGCGGTGCAGCCTTCAATGGCAGCTTCTGCAGAAACCCACCTCCATCTCCACTTGAAAAGATAGATAGCCACAGATCTCGCACTTTTTGGCCTGAACTCTGAAATGGGTTTTGTGGTTTTAAATAATGGTTTTTCTATCTGGGTTTGTTGTTTCACTTTGAGTTTCATGTGTGTGAACGGACAGAGCGGGGTTGAAATTGTTGGGGGACCGTGTTCATAGAAGGGAAGAGTGCCATTGCAAGACAGACAGTGATTTCATTTGCGCCACATTGGATTGGTGGCCACCTGACAAGTGTGATTATGGGACATGTAGCTGGGACCACGCTTCTCTCCTTAATCTGGTATTGGTTTCTTCTTTGTATTTCTGAGCCACATTTGCTTTGCAATGCTCTATCTGTTTGTCCACTATCTTCTTCCTCTCTTGTATACATTTTGCTGCTTTGCTTCTTCTCTTTCTGATTGAAGGGACATTGATATTGTTAATCTGAGCTCAGTTTCACGAGCTTATATTTGTATAGTATAAAGACATCAACATATTGGTGTCTCGCTGCCAGAGGGAATTTGGTTCATGGTGGGTTGGTTTCTATAGCATTCATAGTTGGGTTTTTGTGATTCTTAATTAAAATGCTAGCCAAATAATTCATTATTAAGCATATTGCAATTTTAATTAATTTTGGCGACCTTAAAAGATGTGACTATTGAGCTTCTACCGATTCTTACATCACCTAAGCTTTTTCCACGGGGCAGTTGCTGCAGAATTTGGGTTTTGTTAGCACACATTTAAGTCCCTGCGGAAATGTTATGTAGTATTTTTTTTTTTTTTTCTCAGAAAGGAAAAAATTTACATTAGTGAATGAAGGTACAATATATCTTGGCTTTGACTAGCCTACAAACTGGAGGCCTGGCCATATGGAAAGACGAAAGTGATGACCAAAAACTGGTTTCCTCCATGCATTCCCTTGTACTACTAAGATAAATTTCTACCTTTTTTGCCAAAAAAGTCAGCAACTATGTTGGCTTCTTGATAACAAAAAAGACACTGTTAAGTTGTTGTGCATAGAAGGACATTAGGAGGTCCTGAAGTAGGATGTTGAGCTTGGGAACTATGGCCCACCTCCTTTAGACAGATTAAAACAGAAACAACATATCAGCTTCTAAAATTAGAGATTCAAATCTAGAATACAAATCATGTAAACTGCTACCTAGAAGCCCAGGATTTAGCCTCAGCATTTTGTAGTGTTCTTTAATGAGCATTAAAACCAGAACCAAGCTGGCCCTTGAAGTTTTGGAAAATATCATCTACACCTGCCACATTTCAGTCGGTGCAAACTGATCCTTCCTGTTACCTTTAGTGAATCCATTTGTAGTAAAGAGGCCATTTAACGCAGATAATAAAGAAGCTTTGACAATATCACAAATATGGTAAAAGAAGCTTTTGTAAATATAACCTCATTTCTTCCAGATAGTGCAGAAAACAGTGGGAATTTAATATTGTAAATGTCTTGGGTTGTGGCTTATGTGAGACAGAAAGGTTAGATTTTACGTTCAGAATATTTTTTAAATTATATTCCTTCATTTATGCTCAGAATATTGGAATTTGGTTCGCAAGTAATATCTCTACACTTACGCTTTGTGTGAAATACCTTCTGGGGAGAGCATTAATGTTTTGTGGGAAAAAGAAAGTGCATTTTTTTTCTTCTTCATGAATCACAATCTTATTTTCTGAAATTTTGTTTGGTCATTCTCTTTCTTCAGGATCTCAACAACAACATTTTCTTAAATGCTGTTAAAGGTTTGAATTCTTTGCATACTTTTATCGTGGCCTCAACTGTTGGCAGCAATTGTTTTCTTCATCATGATTTTGTCTTCAATAAAATTTGTAAAGAATCTTTTTATAATCTCAGAATGCCTTTGTTCTAATGATGTTTCAGCTTTTTCACCACTTAAGATCAGACTGGGTGGCACTTTGCAAGATAAGGTCATCTATGAAACTGAAAATAACCATCAACCCTGCGCTCCATTTTCTAAAAATGCCTCACAGTTGTTTGGTTTCTCCAATGGGTGCCTGTCCTTGTCTAGATGGGATGAAGTTAATAGATTCTTTAATAAATCTGGGTAAGATGATAACACTGGCTTGCATGTATACTCAAAACTTGTATTCTGGAAGTTAAGCGTTCCATTGCTTTCATGCATTTTTTAGGGCTCTAGTTATTTTTGGATTAAATGCTCTCACTGGAAGATCCATAAGATCTGATGGTACAGCTGTAGGAGCTTGGGATTACAGTAATGCTGAATATTTTATGCGCTATACTGTAAGAAAGGTCACCCAATCTACGGGTGGGAGCTTGGTAAGACTGCTTTCAGTTCCTAGATGCTAATCCATATTAGATTCTTTCATGGTTAAAGATAAATTTAAGTAATTCATCGGGAAAGAGTATCAAAATTCCACCAGTTCATTCATGAGAACCACACAGTTAAACTTGTGTAATGCTCTGGGGAGCCTATGTTTATTTCAAATGTTTGATATGTTATCATTTACAGGAAATGAATTAAGTGGAATGGAGTTGGGGTAAGAATCACAGCAGATCAATATGCATCTGACATAATCTCTCTACAGAACATAGTGAAACTCGTTTACGAGGATCGCCAAGATAAGCCATTAATCATAGCACCGGGAGGATTCTTTGATGAAAGCTGGTTCAAAGAATTCATAAACAAAACAACCAAATCCTTGGATGTTGTAACTCATCACATATATAATCTTGGGCCAGGTACTTCAATTTTGCAAATCAAATCTGAGGTGCTGTTTCTCAGTTTTCTATGTCATAGATAGAAATTGTTTTTTCTGTGTTATATAGATAGAAATTGTTTTTTTATGATATATTATTATTATGCGGGGATCATTTATTTCATAAATAGGAGTGGATGAACACCTTGTTGAAAAGATTCTTGACCCATCTTATCTTGATGGTGAGGCTGATACATTTAGCAGACTCGAAAGCACCCTGAAGAATTCGGCTACTTCAGCAAAAGCTTGGGTAGGTGAGGCGGGAGGCTTACAATAGCGGCCATAATCTTGTCACCAATGCCTTGTCTTCAGTTTCTGGTAATGTAGCCAATTTGTGTGACTAAACTTTCTGGCTTTTTCTTTTTCATATTTTTCTCTTTTGGATTAATATAGATTTGAATAAAAAAACAGGTATTTGGATCAGCTTGGTATGTCATCAGCTTATGATACCAAAACATATTGCCGGCAGTCATTGCTTGGTGGTAACTATGGTTTACTCAATACCACAACATTTGTTCCAAATCCAGACTATTATAGGTGATTCTTGGTGTGCTTAATTTACCTAGATCCACCCCAATTATTTGTTTAACCTTGGACTATTTCTTTCTTTTTTCCTCTTATTGGTAATTAGATCAAGAATCTCAAGAAAGAAAGCTAATGCTTGACTGCTTAAGTCCTGTGGACCTCTTCTTGATATTCTGCTATTTTTCCCCCTTGCAGTGCTCTCCTTTGGCACCGATTAATGGGAAGAAATGTTCTATCAACAAGCTTCTCTGGGACAAAGAAAGTGCGCGCATACACTCATTGTTCAAAGCATTCTGTACGTTCAAAACAAACAAATATTTGAATTCAATTATTTATTCTACAGCTAAGTCGTTTCCAGATCATGACTTGATAAGTCTCTTTACGATCACTGCAGCAGGGAGTTACGTTGTTACTGATGAACCTAGATAATACCACAGCTGCTGAGACTATAGTGAGATTCAATAGTACGTGGACATTAGAACACAAGCACAAGTCTCATGGTCATAGAAGGAAGATTATTGGACTACCACGGGTTAATAAGAGAAGCAGCAGCAGAACAAGAGAGGAATATCATTGACAGCAAAGGATGGAAATTTACACAGCCAGACCATTTTGCTAAATGGGAAAATATTGGCTGTAAATTCTTCTGGGCACATTCCTTTCCTGGAACCACTAAGGGTAAATTCATCGGAGCCCCTAAAGGTTGCTCCTTTATCCATTGTTTTTGTCCGCTTTCCAAATGTCTCGCTTCGTGCATGTAGGTAGGTGCATGAAGATGGAGCGCAGTTTGTTCCATATAGTGATTGATCAAGTATGAAAGAGAACGCGATGGATTTTTTTTTTCAAAGAATAAAAAATAAAATCTGCCAAGTTTACAGCGCTTCTTTTTGATCGTTTTCTTTTGAGTAAATACTTGTGGATGAGTTGGCCGCTCTTGTTTGCTTTCTTTTGTTCGGTTCAGCTGGGCTTCTCAGTTTGTTATTATTATTACCATTGACAATGGAATCAAAGGCTTCGCATATCAGTGACTGCAGTTGCAGCTAAACCTGATATTTACAATGGGTATTTCAAACTGTCAAAATTAAATTGAAAAGAGCAAAGTAGTATATTCATTCCTGCATATTTTGTACTCCCAAAGAAAGAAGACGAAGAAGAAATCCGTCAAAGTTAACTGTTTAGATGCTCAAAATCAGTCAAAGTTGGACTGTTTATATTAGAAATTTAAGGAACCGCCTTGCATGCCAAAGAGAAGAAAACTCTCTTAACATTCCGCTATTTATGGCCTTTATATTACTTCCAACAGGGTTACATACACTCAAAGACTATCATCTAGGGGTGCAAAATAAATAAATAAAACAAGAAAGAAACAAAGAAAACAGAGGTGTTCACATACAAGATACTTTCAGCCTGGACAACTACTATATCTTAAGTTGACGAGCAGTAAAACTAGTGCAGTATTGACAAGCGAATAATGCATTCTATACAGTTATCAATAGGTCATTGGATCAAATAAGACAAATTTGAATTCTAATCTGATTATTTATTTTTATATTCAAATTCGATCCAACTCCTGAATCTCCGTCTAGTTATTATTTTATAGACGCAAGAATAGCAAATATTAATACAAAGAAAGAAAATAAGATTTTTAAACTAGAAAGGACTACATAATTGATTGATCATAATTGGATAAATTACAATCAAAATGTAACTGAAAATCCTAATAACATGCATTACAATGTGAATAATTAAAATCCTAACAAATTGGATAAAATCTGAATCATAACAAATAGATAAAATCTGAATAATTATAAAAATCTAAAAGATAAATCACCCTCTTTTTCTGCATTTTCCTATTCCTTATTCCGCATTTGAGACATAAAACTAGTACTCCTCCTTGCATCAGTTGTTGCAAATGCCCAATTTCTTCCTTAAACATTGCGTTGATTAAAATATATGCAACTTGCTCTTCTATTTTGCAGTATGTTGATATCTCCACTTATAAAAATTTTTCCTGTTTGAGGCTGAACATTCTGTAGGTTTTAGATACATGAATGTAGTCAGTAAATCCTCCAGCTCTACCTTTTATCTAACTTATCCCTTTTTCCCTGAGGCACAAAAAGAAATCGGAGCAATTGAATATTAATAGATTGTGTAAGGGAGGCTTATACCCACGCCAAACCTCAAATAGTGTCTTTTTATGTAGAACTCTTGTTGGAAGCTTATTTAAGAGAAAAATTGCAGTATCTGCAACCTCTGATCAAAACTTTTTTGACGACCCTTTTTCATGAAGCAAACATCTTGTCATGTTCATTATTTATTTGTTTTTCCTCTTACTCACTCTGTTTTGCTGTGGAATTTACGGGGCTGTGAATTAATGTTCGATTCTAGCTTCCTCACAAAATTTGTTAAATTGGTCTGAAAAATATTCATTCTTATTATTTGATTTCAGTACTTGCATTCTGTAACCACTACCCAAGCTTGCTCCTCCTTTGGATTAAGGAAAAAAAATTCTTGCTTTTCATTTTTATTGTGAACACCTCTTGATTTCTTACGTCTCTGATGATGCATTTCTTGTCTTCAAAAAGCACCTTAAACCTTCTCTAATAGTTATCCAACACTTAGTAAATTTTGATTAATCTTAGGCACATATAAAACATTAGTGATTAACTTTGCACCTAAAGCACTTTCAATTGCTAATGTCGCTTTGCTTTTTGCTTCAGTGAACTCGCCATGTCCAACTTTAACTTTGGAATTTTAGTTTTATCTAGTTCTCTGAAGATTTCTTTATTATAGGTCATGTGGTTTTTGCAACCCCTATCAATTAGCCAGTGTTCACTCGAGCTACTACTTGCATAACATAAGGCAACAAGCAAATTCTCATCCTATTTCTCACCTGCTTTTTGAGCCTTTTCTTCTTATTGTTTGCTTTTGCAAACCTTCTATATGTGGCCCAATGGTTTCCACTTTTTGCATTTGATGTCAGGCCTCCACCAGCATTTGGATTGGGGATGATTTGTCTTCCCGCAATAATGACATTTAGGGTAAGTTCCTCATTTCTCCTTCCACGAATCCTTGTCTCATCAATCTTCCTTGTTCTTGTGCCTGCAATGCATTCGAAAGTTCTACTAAACAAATGCATGACGAATTGTTAAAACTCTTCCAATGCAGATATTTTTAGCTCAAATCTTTCAGGCAATGTAACTAAAATCTGTTCAACAACCCTTCTGTTAGATAAATTTTCACCATGTAATCTTACCTTGTTGACAATGCAAAAAAGCTTGTCAGAGTACTCTGGAATAGTCTCTGATTGTTTCATTACTTGCATTTCAATTCCCCTCCTCAAGTCAAGCACTTGCATACACTGGTTCTATCGTTTTCTTGATACTCCTCTTTCAAATAGTCCTAAATTTCTTTTGCTAATTCTAGGGACATCATCTTATTGAAGATGGCTTCAGACAAAGCAGAGAATAGGCAAGATTTTGCCTTAAATTTCTTGGTCTTTTTCTCATTTTGACTCTTGATCTGAGCAAGTGTTGCATTGTTAGGCAATGGAGACAGTGCACAGTCAGCTTCCACTGCTTCCCAGAGGTCACAAGCTTGCAAGAATTCGAACAGGCCAAATTTGGTAATTTTCTCCAAAAAACACGGGTGGTGTTGAGAATGTATTAGTCTTGAAAGACGTGTAAAGAGATTTTGCGTTTGAATGTTTTTTTACTTGGGAAAACAAATACTCTCGCAGGTCCCTCAAGATGAATAGCTTTGATACCAATTTATTATTTTATAGATACAAGAATAACAAATATAGATAGCAAATGAAGAAAAGAAGATTTTAAACTAAAAAATGTTCTAGAATTGATTGATCATAGTTGGATTAAATACAACTAAAATGTAATTGAAAATCCCAATAAAATGCGTAGCAATGTGAATAATAAAAATCTTAACGAATTGGATAAAACCTAAATCATAATAAACAAATGAAATCTGCATAAAATCCAAGTGATTATAAAAATTTAAAAGATAAATCAACCTCCTTGTACGATTTGTGAATTTTGAAATAAAACAACTTGAATTAAAAAAAATGAGCAAAACTTTACTACTTCGTGCAGTTGTACAAAAATAACAAGACTGTGCGCCGTATCACAATGTCGTTGATCTCACCTTCTATTAGCTGTCTACTCTCTCTCTCTCTCTCTCTCTCTCTGATATGCTTAGTATCGAACTACAAGATTTAAGAAGAGTCTTGGTACATCATTTTTAGTTGAAGGCAATAAACATACAGCATTTTGTTCAATGAACGGATGAGATCAACTTTCTAGCATCAAATGTTTAAATACATGTGCGGACGAATGGCTCTAGCCTTGAATTTTTGTACGTGCTGACATGGATGAGCCAAATAACTTACAAGCACATGAAAATTGATTAACATAATAACTTTTTCTTTTCTTAATTTTTTTCCCCTTTTTTGGGTTTTACACAAAAAATAAAGAAAGTCAGAAAATATAAGTGTGACATGCTTGTATTTGACAAATACCCTGATACGATAATATATAAATATATCAAATGATATACTTATTCTATTTTATAATTTTTGATAGTATAACAAGAATGTTATAAAATATGGAACATTAATATTAAGATTAAAAACATATATAGGCAATGAAATAGTTTTTATATGGTTTGTTATTGTTAGATATATACCTCTCTCGGCCTCATATACGCACAAGCTCATATCAGCTTTGCATTGCATGTTTGGTTTTGGTTTCTTATCAATTTTTTTTTCATTTTTTGAAAAACAGTTTAGAATTTCCCCTTTAATTGGCTTTCAATTTAATATACAGAAGAACAGGAAGCTGCCTTTTTTGCTCATTTTTTCTCTCTTACCTTCAAGTTATTTATAGCAGGTAGCATGCGCATATTAGTCGCTTGTTTAACACTTGTTCACCACAATGAAGAAAGGCCTAGCAACTCGGGAGTGCACCGATCCTCCGCAGAAAGCACCGACACATGCACATTGACCCCTCGATTGTATTTAAATTACCAAGACAATCATAAAATAACTAAAAATCACAGGCCACTGTAGACTTAATCCTTCGATATTTCAATATTTCTAACTCATTTATATTACGATGTACTCTACACAAGAATGTCCTCTCACACAAATCTGAGGCAAACCATGGTGACCGCCATTCACCGTCAACGTTTAAGATTTTGACCTCAATGTGGTTAACTCATACGTCTTCATTGCATAGATCATTCAGAACATAACTGATTTCTATATTTCCTTCTCTTTTTTTTTTTTTTTTTTTTTTTTGGGTTTTGGTGGGGGGGGGGTATTCAGTGGGTTGCTTCATGTCAAAGGTATAGTTTGAGAAGCCCAAAATCCAAGCATACCGCACAAATGGAGAAAAATGTAATAGTCTACTTGTGTACCAACCATAGCCTACAGAATTCTAACAAATTCATGGACAGCCGTAGCGTCTTTTCAAGTCCAGGAGGCAATTCTCATGTTTCTTCTGTGTTCCTTCCATGTATCCCTCGCTGCATGCACTAGTTTCAATTTGAATTCATCGGGTCTTTAGGCAACTGGTTACAACAAATGACACACCAAGTCACCAGTATCATTGTTGCTGCTCGTATATCTGCATGTAAGCTTCTGATAGAGCAACCATCTGAGGCAGAGTTTCAGAGACATGTAGATCCTGCATCTCGTACCTACAATAAAATATGCCCATATATTCAGTTAAAAGAAATTGAGTTAATTCCGACAGTGTTGATGTTCAGGATTCCTGAAATTCTCTGACTTACCAAAGCTCTTCTGACTTCCGCTGCACAAAAAACCCTGTAGGAACCTTCACCTGGTTTACCATCGTGAACAATGTTGGCAATCAAGTCATACTTTGACCGCAGTTTCTCATTCTCTTTGGGTGTTGGCAAAGGGATATAGTCCTTCAGCTCTAAGTTCTTCACTGGAAAATTTACTATAACAGAAAAATAAAATTAAGGAAAAACATATTAAACCAAAACATCATACTAATATAGCTGGAACTCAGTCAAAAGTAATGAATAGATTTGTAATTTCCTACTTGATTTGTTTAACTCAATAATTATTTCTCAATCAAACAGGAAGCAAAGTGAATAAAACTACAAAATTCTCAAGTGAAAGGCCCAACATTCCAATGCCACAGAAGGCATCAAGAGCACTGGTGACATAAAAAAAAAAAAAAAGGAAAGGTTCGAGTCCAAACTCAAACATCTAGATGATGAACAACAAGGCAACTTCCAGTTCAAAATGCAAGGTATTTAAGCACTAACATTGTAAATGCAAGAAATACAATCTAATTTATAGGCACACCGTGTGTTTTAGCAACTTCAAGACCTATTTTTTATGATCAAATCAACCAAGTAGAGCACAAATAGCAAATCACATATTTCAATAATTTGGTACTCACCAAGAGTAGGATTTTTCTCCACGAAAAAATTGTTCTTTGTAAATCGTCGCATGTGGAGAATTAGATATTGTGGCAGTCTGGTTACACGATATCTCATCCTTGCTATTCGAGGACGTACAACTTCAGTGACTAACTCACCATCAAACTTCTTCAGTATGTTGAAAAGTGGAACCTGTAAGGGTACACATTTTAGATTCCTGATAGACTTATAATAAGCACATCAGAATAGTGTATCGTGAATCACAGGATGATTTCCTTTCTCCTTTCATATAGAAACTTTCTCCAAAACTTAATCCCACCCTTATATTGTTAGGGTCCAGGTTGTACTAACAGAACTACAACATTTTATAGAACACTTTGAGCACTAATCACATCTAAATTCCATACCTTTCCCATTTAACAAAATTTTTTTGAATGTAACAATAAACAATGTATTCAACAATAAAGAAGAAAACTCATTATCTTATCATACAAAATCCAACCATCATGGCAGGAATGACTGATAACAAGCTAGTAGGCATTAAAATTTTAGAAGTAATAACTTCATAGGCAAATTGAGATAAAGGTCAAAACACGACTGATTTGCACAATGCACCCTTAAATTCTAAATTTTTGCACTTTGCACCCTAGCAAGGCAAAGAATCAAAGGGTGCGCGGGTGCAAAGTGCAAAAATTTAAAATTCAAGGGTGCATTGTGCAAATCACCCTCAAAACACAGACCTGTGGAATTATATTTTTCTCCATCACATCCTTAAAAAGGGGTGGAGGTGGTAAATCCAGTCCAAGCATTAAGAACAGCATTCTGCTAGTTTCAGTGACAACATTATCCTGCTCGATTCCACCATCTCCAACACTGCCATTATTCTGCTCATCACCATTCTCTTTCTTCTCAAAAAAAGGTCTGCTGTGAATCTCTTTTACGACTTCCAGTTCTCCCTATTGGGCACAATGTATTAATCAGCATAACTTGTATCAAAAATATTTACAGCTTTGAACTGATGGTGAAGATAATATAACAAAATCAAGGAGGATAAAACAGACAAGAAGATGGCGAACAACCTGAAAACACTGGTGAATAATGCTGCTACTTCTTTTTGAACTTCTAAGATCTGCATGTAATGTATTAAGAAGCCATGACATAAATTCAACTGGGTCAGACTGTGCCCAATTCGAAACCGTTTTTTACTGGCTTTCATAACAGCCTGAAGGAACTCATGCGGGCTCACCTGCAGTTGCACAGTTCTTAAAGAGAGAGTTCTATTTAAAGACCACAAGGAAAATTTAAGTCAACTATCTCAGACCTGTCCCTTAAAATTACGTGCATGCCAAATCTTCCTAGTGAGTTCTCCAAAACGGTGAACAAGTGGGGATTTGCTGTGTTGATAATTTTCAGGAATAAGGAAGAAGTTCCGCAGGGGAGTTACTCGCATTAAAGATTGAATTGTGACGTTCACAAAATCAGTCTCCTTAATGTTATTCAAACCCACCTGAAAATTGACAAGATGGAAGCATGTTTCAAACATAAAGACCGCAAGTTGCTATCAATTCATGAATCTAAACTCTAAGCAACAAAATATGACAAGTCAAATAGACAAAAATATGCTATTAAGGCGAAACAGGCCAGATACCATTCCAGGAAGATAATCAGAACCATCAAGCGCCCTAGACCACTGCTTGTTTCTATCAAGCTCTTCAACCTGCTCCCTGGTGAACCTGTAAAACCATTATAATCATGAGAACAAGTATGAAGAAGTAACTATACATAGTAGTATTTGATATAGGATTTACACATGCAATAATTTAGAAAGTTGGAGGAAAACCACATGTCAAAACAAAATCCTCAACAATATACTCATTAATGGACATTGCATCCACATTCGTGCATTTGCACCCAAAGTGTGTGACTAAGAGTTCAATTGAATGCTATAAGAAAGAATGAAGAAGAAAACATGCAAATTTGAAAAAGTTATTTTTGCCAAACCTTGGGTTTAAAACATGTCGTATGTCATCCAGTGATGGATCATTAATTTCATATCCATCTGGAAGGCAATAAACCCTCTCTGTTCGAAGATTGATGTAAACATGATGCCCTGCTTCAAGGCTATGTGTATATGCATGAGATTTCTGTCCTCTTCCTTGGTAATACTTCCACAAACCAAGCATGCATACACGTTCAAGTTTGAAAGAGAGACAGAGCAAAATTTCTCAAAATCAAAATCCAGAACCTGCAGAGAATAGACAATCAACCGAGCCAAGTATGAGTTTATGATATACAATCCACAATTATACCCTATAAATCCACTGAGTCCTGACAGGATAGCATAAGATCATAAGTAAAGGAATAAAGTGGTTTTTTAAAAAGTGACAACATAGTTGGACTTCAGTGATGAAGCTCGATAAAACAATCAACCATTAATGAGAAGATTTTGCCCCCATACACGTCACCTGAGCCTAAAATGGTTAAGTATGATCCACCGCAGAACAAAAAGAACACAACATTAAGAAAAATGCAGTTGATTTGACAAAAGAGAAAGATCAAATACCTGGCGATTTACAGTATCAAGATAAGGACAGTCTTTGCGGACTTCAATTTCACGATTTCGCTTCCCCTGACTGGGTCCTTTATCAAGCTCATTGTCATCGTCGTCCTCATCATCATATCTACCAGCATCCTTACCACCATTTTGCTCTATCCTTCCACCCCCATTTCCAACTCTAGCCCCTCTTGTGCCATCATCTTCTTCCTCGTCTTCATCGTCAGCATAAGAAGCAAGAGGAAGAAGTGCATTGTCAAATCCAAGCCTAGGTGGTGAAGGAGAGGGAGAAGAAGGCTGCTCTAGCAGCTTCTGCCTCTTTGCATATTCCTGCTCCTCTCCGTTGTCTTCTTCCCTCTTTGTCTTCATTCTCGTCACACACTATTAATTTCACTGTTCAGAGGTTTAACTGCATCATGCACTGCACCTTTTAAATATAATTATAATATTGGTATTTCAAGATGCAAAAATCAGTTTACTTAATTAATAAGGTTTATTAGATTTTGTGGGTTCAAACAATGTATCATTTAAATTCAATGGAAAGATCATTTTATTATTGCTTAATCAATTCCAGTTACACAAAGGCCATGCTTCTAACCATTGAACTAAAAGTAATAACATGGATCTTACTTTAATACTTGCAGAGCTACATCAGGGTGATCAGTTCAAATTGTCCTGTTATTCTTATATTTTCTACCGTCTTTACAAATAAGTTAGGTTTTCACAAAACCCTTTTTAAAGAAAACACGAAAGTTACAGAATTTATTATGACAACCCAAAACTGTTAACAAATTCCTTCACATGGTGATTGCAAGTTTATGGAGAAGTGGCAGTTGAATGAATCCATGAAAGTAGGCCGCCATTAAACCTACTCCCCAAGTCACAAACTTAGGTACGCAATCTACCTACCATTAAGCACAGATAAGTTTTCCTTATTTAAACAATTACCAATTTATGTCCAATTATTTAGCCTACATGTAAAAGTATAGATTCTCACAATTTTTCCAGACCAAAATACCCTCATTATCTTTCTAAATGCTATCCACACCTCTAACCTTTTAATCCTATATCTTATTACAACATTTACATTTACTGCGCACATTTAATTTAAATTACTGTATTTAATCACTAATATTGGTTTTTAATTTAAATTACATTTCAAAATTATAATCTTGAACAAACCACAACCAAGCACAGTGGGGGTGCTATGCCAAAATAAGACGGTAACCTAATAACTAAGTTCAAATTAAAACCAAATAGCTGCTCCGTAGATCCTGTTTCCCCGTGCCATTAACTGTCTTCTTTGAGCAATTATAGATAATAAATGAGAGAATACATAATCAACCCTTCTTAATGACAATGTCAATACTCTTAAGAAGGCCTTCAAAGATCAGGAAATTAAGACTCCCATGAAAGTTCATTGAATTAAACCATACCACAATTGAAAATTAGCCAAAGTATTTTACTAATTCCAATGGAAACTAGACTACAATCACCAACAAAACTCTAATAGTTACTTCTGAACGTAACACTCGCAGAAATAAAATGACAAAATAACAATAAAAAAATAACAAAATTACTAATAAATCCATTTATAAAAATTTTACAAAAAAGAAATATATGTGTCAGTGACTTATCCCATCACCATTTCAAGCCAACCTCCCCAACTTGACCAACTTGCTCGCACTCATCAGTGCTCTATGACCAATTTTTGAAGTTATTGCAATAAGAGGCAAAAAAAAAAAAAAAAAAAAAAGATGTGACTGGCTAAATTCATTGCATAATTAACCACCTTTGTGTTTCTTGCAATTACAATTAGAATTACAACCATCATGGCCATTTATTGTCTCTTAAACGAAAATTATCCTGAATAACTAGTATTGAACTTGAAGCCTAGAGTCAAGAACAACAAACACTGTACACTTTAAGGATGTTCGTGGTACAGTTTGAAGCTCAACTTTAAACCAAGCCATACTTCACAGTTTGTGATTTGTAGAAACTAAAACCACAGTTCACAGTGTGATTCAGTTTTAAACCATGGTTTTTGTGATGAAAGGAGACCATGGCAAAGTACTATAGAAAATAATGACCAGCACTAATTTCAAACAAGCCTCAGAGAGCGGGGAGACGAAGTGCACCAGATTCAAAGCCAAAGGCCCGTTGAATAGGTATCACATATCCATAAATTCAAAAAGAAAACAGTTTTTTTCCCCTCAAAAGAAGTTACTAATTTCTCATTCCTACAAATTATATACAATCAGATATCATATTCAAAATATATAGCAAAGTCATTTTGTGCCATTATTTCACAAAAAGGTATAAATTCAAAAACATAAGGCAATTGCATTGAAGATTCATAGTTATATTCCAAAGAGTGGGATAACAAAACAAAAAATCACATAAAATGAGACAAATAATCACCATAAGGTCGTCAACTCTGAGGCCTCCCAAAGTTCTTAATCATTAAGGTTGGCAAGAGCCCTGGCCTCAACAATTGGAAAGAAGATGTAGTTACAAGGTACTTTACTTATTCCCTTCATTTATCATTCCAATAAGAGGCTTGCTTTCTTGTTTCATATATAAGAAAAGAAAATTTCAGTTAGAAGTGAACCAGCAAATCCATAGATAAATGCATCTTGCAATTCCGAAATTGGGCAACTAAGTGGAACTGCCTCCCATAATTACATTCCAATGATTTTATTTTTGACCAATTCATGATTCAACAATAGCATTGGACTTGGTGTGGATGAAACTAACTCTACATTATATATATATATATATATGGAACTCGTTGAAGGGAACTCCTAACCTCAGACTCATTGGAGAGAGCCTTAAACCTCTATAAATTTGAATGAAAATTCTGCTCTCTTTATTCTCGTCCAATTATTCTCTTAAATAGAGATTACAAAGGAAATTACTTTTACAAAAACAGGAAAACTAAAATTAAAGACTTAAATTGCAATAAAAATACTTACTAAAATAAACTCTTCTTATTAGGAATAAAATTATTATTTGTCTTCCTTCCCATTTTTGGTGCCATTGACATATTTAATTAGGAATTAAGTAATTATTAGTCTTCCTTCCCATATTTGGCACCATTGACTTCCTTATTTTGTGATCCATACCATCCATAACAATAACCCAGATAAACTACATATACCTAAAAAAAATAAATAATAATAATAATAATAAGGGAAACAACGTAATAACAGAGCAAAAAAAACTCATGTAATTTATCAAAGGTCTCAAGTAAAAACCTTTGAGACGGTCATCATGTTGGTTGTAAGAGTACCAGTCTTGTCACTGCAAATCACTGTTGTGCAGCCTAAAGTTTCTACAGATGGCAGAGACCTGACAATAGCATTCATCCAAGTCATTCGTTTTGTTCCCAGAGCCAAACACCTAATACATTTTCCAAGGTAAATCTCCACTAAAATTTTAGCATTTACCAAATATCATACACATGAAGCTTTGAACATCTATTTTTCTGCAATATAACAAGTCATACTATGAACATAATTGAAAGTCAATTAATACTTGTTGGCCAAATTAACTGCATTGCAAATTTCAAGGAAGCACACTGCCTTCTAACTTCCTGATTAACTAATTACCTTGACTACTTAATCTGTTCCCAAGCTAAACTAGATTGACCAATGACTTTCAATGCAAGTGAAAGAAAGCAAAACAAGATGATCAAAAGATCTGATATCAACAGATGCAGTGACAAACATTTGTTTTTAATTGCAGAAAGGACTGATGAAAAGGACGCAAGGGAGAGATCTTAGCAGTGAATATTTCTTTTATGCCAGAAGTTCGCCTTTTTTACTTTCCATCCATTTGCAAAGCACTGGAACCCCATGGTTGTCACACAATGCTCATGCACTTTCTTGACAGATATGAAAATAAATGAGACAAGTTCATAGGCACATCCTCAAACATCTATTGGACTTGTGCCTGTAAAAAAAAATGATGCAAGCTCTCAAAAACAGCCCAAAAAATTGCTCATTGACTTCAAAGATCACTAATAACTCAAACAATCAGTCTGTTCTTTATGAAGAAAATTCTTTTCAAATAGAAATCTTCTCGAGTGCCAATTTGCTAATATCCATCTAGGATGTTTCAATTTTGAATTTTATTTTATTTAGCAGAAAATTTTTCCTGAGAAATGTATTCTTGAATTTCAACATTATTCCTGTTCATACACTCTTTTCCAATTTTAAAGTACTTTAAAAAATGCTGTACTCTGAATTTGCATGCCTGATACTTGAGATGGCATCATTTTCCACAACCTAATGTTTATTTCACACAAAGCAACCTGAAGCTGTATACGTGTCTTTATCCTTGAATGGAAAAAAATAAAGTGGATACCTTCTTCACATTGAAAAACAGTAATTAGTATTCATACCTTCTTCACCACTCAGTTTTTCTTTTTTTAAATAAAAAAAATTTTCAAACACCATGTTCGACATTGAACTCTTCCTAGATCTTAAGTACAGCTATCTAAGCTGTTGGTAGTCAGCAGCATCTTCTCCAGTTTAGCAAAGTTGATTCTCAGAAGTTAAGAAAATAATTTTTCCCAGTTTATCCAAATGATAGAATTAAAACAGAGAAAAGGAATATACCTAATTGAATATGCTCCCTATCATTGGCAAATTTTCAAACTGCATCATCTATTTGTTAAAGTGATAATAGCACTTAAGGGCATGTTTGTTTATCAGAAACTGGAAATGTGGTAATTGGGAATGTTAGGGATCAATAGCTACGAATTTGAGGGACTAGATGCTGTGTGGATTATGCGGTAGCCCCCATGGGACAGGACACAAAGGGACTGAATGTGATTGGTACAAGTCTTTGGCTAAGCATGGACAGAGGAAAGGGGCAGAAATATGTAAGACTCACTTAAATCTTAGGAATTTGAGCCAAAACCAACCTCCACTCACAGAATCCCTCATGTGGAGGTGTACCCAAATGCCTAAGGGGGTGGGTGATTGCACAATCACCTTTTTGTCCAAAGAATATGCAGCTCCCACTAACACTATCTGCCAAACATAGGATTTGAGGCCCCAAGGGACACCATATCCAACAGTTGACCAACCAAAGCCAGGCTGCAGGTCATATGGATTGGCTATGTGCTAGTAACTAGCTACATTTTTGGTAGTCATCCAGAAATCTAAGAGTATAAGAAGGCAATGGGATCAAAATATCTTATATACCAAAATGAAATATGTACATAAAGGAAAATTCTGGAGACATCAAAATAAACATCTATTGCTGGGATCTGTTCCTTGAGACCTTTAAAGTACTGGTTGGTTGAGTTATTCCCAAATATAGACAACATTTTCCTCAGCACCAAAAATTAGGACACTCTATATTTCTTATCTTTTCTTTTTTACTTGTTCTCTTTCTGCGAAAAATTTTAGAGATGTATTTTGATATGAACCAATTTATCAAAGTCAGCCTACCATTACTCTTGGGTTAGACTCGAAAGATTGGTCACCAAGTCACATACTCAGTTGTGTGCACATAACATAATCTGAACTCACAAATAATTCAAGACAAGCAACATGAAATAGAGACACTAAGCCTCGAAAGGCCAGATAACCACCAATGAACCAGAATGTTGGTTGAAAGGATGTTGCCTTCCAAATTGACAAATTTAGGTATAAACAACCAAGACAAGTTGACAGAATGAATAGGTTAAAGAATACGTAGGTGACCAATTGTCCTAAACGCTTAAATATTTATTAAGGGAGTGTTTGGTAGAAACAGCTTTTAGACTTTTTGGCTACTAATCTATTTAGCATCCTGATGTTAACATGGGCTTAAAAGCCCAAAAAGTCTCCAAAGCTCAAAGTCCTGATTCTTGGATTACAATAAAAATCTCATTCACGTTAAGGAGAGAAAAATTTAGAGGAAGTTGAAAAAATTTAGAGAAGTAATTTCAGTGACAGAAAACTCAAAACATTATAAAACAATTTTAGACAGAGAAAGTTGAAAAAATTACAGAGATAGTTTAAACAATTG